AGAGTCTAACAGCAATATTGAGAAACGATTCATGATACGAGTTCACGGATAATCTTTCGGAACTATCATTGTGATTGGGACAGCCATGATGTTAAGAACAAGTCTGAAACACGAACAAAGAAATTTCGGTTCGACTTACTTGTATTCTACTCTGTCCTTATGGTCCATTGTAGCGGATCCGCTTCTCTGGTCACAATCTAGCTCACTCTGAAGTATATGGTTAATGGTACGAACAAATGGTTCACAACCGGTCAGCATAACGAAGTGTGTTCTGAGTGTGCTCACAGGAAGACATATCCGGACTTATCATAGCAATCTGACAAAATTATTTAACAATTGAGGACATTGACTATGTGATTCGTAAATTGACTATGTGATTTGCAAGTCTCAGCATTTTTGCCAACAAAGGAATCTCGTAACACAAGAGTGAGCTTCGAAGTTCTGAATGTAACATGATTGCTGTTCTTGGCCATAGCACGGATACATTCCTCAAACAAACGCATATTATGGTCAACTAGATTTCGACATACCTTAAGAGCTAGCAGAGATTTGTTGATTTCGGCACCTTCCATCCTAGTTTGTTCATCAGAGTTACCAGTATCTTGTCCGCGTTCGTTACCAGCAAGGTCGATCAAAGAAAATTTACCCCACAGCTTATTATGTCTGTCAAAGAATGGGCTATAACAAACTGATGACTGAACATACTGTTTCATTATGATCTGCGGAACTGTATGAGAACGACTCGAGTTTGAGTTGGCAGAAGTGGCTACTGCAGTTCTTAACTTAGTTCCACTGCGAAACAAATCCAGCACCTAGGTAACTCCTCTGTAATGATAAAAAGAAAATTGAACACTCACATCTTCCTCATTTTCCACCTCTTCTTCTTTCAACCTGACCACATTAACTTCTTTCTTTCCATCTTCCAGTACTCTCAAAAGAGCTTTTTATTCTATAAATCGAACACCTATAAGATGTAAAGCAAATGATTTTTCACATTTCCATCTTTCTCAAAACAAAGCATTGGGTGTTAGAAAAATCTGTCGCACTCAGCGAAAATACTAGAACTAATGCCTTATACGGTATACAAATACAAAAAAAAGTGAAAAGCGGATAAAAAACCGATCAAACGTTGTAACCAATCATAAAAGTTTCTAACAGAAGGCTAAAAGTGGTCATAACAGTAGCGAAATATATTTACTTTGAAAACAATAAAAGCTTGAAAAATTCAAAAACTAGGAAGAATATTATTTCGAAAAGTCCATTTTTTTCTGTAAAACAAAATATTGGTCCTAACACGATATGACAAAGAAAAAAAATCAAAAATTCAATTAGAGAAAGTAAAGTTCAGACTAGAACGTACATACCAGAGTCTTCGCCGTACATCGCGCGGTTTACCTTCGGGAAGTTCTCTCAATGCTTGAGAATCTGATCTTGTTTTCATTCTGAATAATTTTTTCAAATGTGACACAACTGCAGACGAGTGTACTTCGGGATTGATCCTTTCGCGCAAATGAACACATAATGATTTCCTCAATTGCATAAGAGTGAAGAAAAGCAATAGAATAGAACAGAACTCTAAGAAGAGACAGAAAATACCCTTTATCGTTGTATTTACTGTGGGACACCAGGAAGGGTGATAAGGTATGAGCATTGAAAACAACAAGAACAACAAACCAATAATTGAGAATGTTTTTATTAAAATTAGCTATTGAGAGAAGATGAATAAATTACTCTGGATTGTATACATTTTCGTTCCCAACAGAAGCCACTCTTAGGCCAAAATATCTTGTAAATGATCTGGTATGATGTTAATATTTGGTTCTGAACAAACGTTATCAAGATATTATTTTTGTTACTTTTTATTCTCAATCACATTCGTGTTGGTTCATTCAATTTTTTTTCATCTTACTAGGTTAGGGGTACGTGTGCACTTATCTTCGGGTAGTCGTGGGATAATCCTATGTTGGACAATAAACAAAGACGTGAAAGAGCAAAAAGATTGTTCTAAGGCTACGGAAACAGATAAAAGAATACCGTACACGGTGATGATGATGAGTCCATCCTATCTAAGAACTGCTGTCAGATTGTAAACACGGTGACCACCATTGTTCTTGTGCAAGCAATAGCTTAAAGCTTCTTCCTTTTCTCTACGCTCACTCTCCCGCCTCGTACAAAGAATTGACATCATTTATGGAAAGCGACAAGTATATTGTTTTGAACAGTGCCTCCTACCGTGTTCTTCTCTTTTAATTTCTATTAATTTATTCAGAATATAATGAAGTTTATAATAATTGTTGTCTTAACGCTTATGAAGCGGTTGAATGCTAGTTTAGTATCTCAACCTGGTTACGGATATGTCGGACCTGCTTGTGCTGTAGTGGTATGCTATTAGATTTCACTGTTTCAATGTTTCAATATAATACAATCAGGATGGTCAACTCTTTGTTCATGGAGTTGTAAAAAGGCATTTGTCACCAACAGAAATAGAAATTTTCCATTTGTACCAGTCAGATATTAGTCGCTATAGGGAGTAACTGAGTTGCATGCTTTCGAAATGATCAAAATTATAAATTTCAGTGGATTGAGATCTAACAATTTCTTGGCAATGGACGCACCTATAGTACCTGGCTTTTGTGGAGGATATGATGATTCGACAGAAATAGTATTAAACACTTGTGTTGTCAGAGTAATTTTCATTACTGGAAATTTTGTGTATCTCATATGTTAAGAACAACCATGTGTACATCAACGAAAAACTCATCCGTGCTCTGACAAATCGAGAAAAACAGAAGCTGGAAACTGCTGTAGTCCGAAGGAATATGGTTTCTTTGCATTCACGTAGAACAAAGAGAGAGATGAGGTATCAGTAGTGATTCGGTAATTGTAAACCAAATCATTTTCGAGATCTCTCACGAGCGCTCAAAGAGATTTCTCTTCTTTAATCCATCGTTTACTGAATGTGAACTCGACAGTTACATCACGGTTCCATATAATGTTTTTTCAAGATGTTTGAACAGCATAATTTAGTTTTCTTCCTGTCGTTAGTCAATCACCGCTTTTCTCTTTGGACGGAGCCTTCAATTCCGTAGTTGCAGCTGAAACTTCATCCAAATCGCAAGAAATCAAGCAAGAACTTTCAACACCAACGATCACGACAACATTCCAACCTCGAGCCGCTACCGAAAAGATCACAGAGTCCACCACAACGATCCCTTCCTCTCGCTCCCCCAAATTCATTTACACTCGTAATAAATTGGATAGAACAGAGGAACTATCGCCACCCAGTAATAAGACCACTTTTCTTTGTCATTCTTCAATTAATTCCAGAAATAATTAAAAAGATTCATTCTCACAACTTCAAACAAGTTCCCGAAGAAGTGAAACCCTCAAAAGGTTTTTTAATTTAACTTCAGCATAAGATTCTTTATTTAGTATCTGCCGCTTTTGCACAAGAGGAGACAGTTTCTGATCCATTAATTTTACAGCTCATAGCGCATGCTCTAGCTAACAACGAAGTTCTCGATAATCTTCAGCTTCCAGGTTCCATATGTTTAACAGATCTTCATGGACCTTAGATTCAGAAACGTTGAACGAACCCAAAGTTAACCGGAAACATGGAACTAGTAGGAAGGAAACGAAAATCAAATACCCGGCCGAAAACGAAGAGAGGAAAGCAGCTTGGTATACGGCATCTGTGATATATACAACTCTAGCCCCTCAGACAACACGAATGGAGAACTGTAAGTTCCACAAGTATATCTTTTAACACCGTTTTTAGATAACTCTCTCCCGTCGAGAGCAAGGACAACTTTGCCCGATGAAATTTGCACAGCACATTTGATAAATAGAAAGTAATGTATTATAAAAAATAGAAAAAAATAAAGCAATTCCAATTTACTGCAACGACAACTGGAGATGAATATTAACATCAGCACAATAACTTCATTCAAGTAATTTTAGAGAAATTGAGAACTTTCGAACTTCATTGACAGAAAAATCCTCGCTAATGAAAGCCAGAAGACATTATGTAATGGAACTTAGAAATGTAGAACATAAAATTAATGATTAAGTTCATTACCAGAAAAAAACGAATACTACCAGACTATACTCAAAATTACATCCGAAATCTGGGAGAATTTCTTTTGAAGAGTCATTATTAATATGAATATCAGATGAACGGATAAATAATAAATAAACGAAAGATCATTTTGCTGCTTAGGTTTTTCGGAACCAATTTCTGATATGTGATGGACGTGGAGGGGTATTGCTTGAACCCCAACCATTGTTGTATCCTCGATGATGGTGCATTGGTGGCGGTGGTCCCGATGGATTAGGATACCCGTACTCCTGCAGTAATTATCAAGTTAAATTCATATAGCTATCACCAAAACTGACCGGGAAAGACGAAGGGAAGGAGTTAAAGGCTGGACTACCTTTGCTATACCCATACGGGTAACCAAAGTCGCTGAATTGACTATTGAAAACTTTGTATTGCGTAGTGATAGCTTACTTGTGTGGTGAGTTCATGGAGTTGGTTTCGTCTCTTGGAATAGCCAAGCTCACTCCAATGGAAGTTCCTTCTATTACATAGTTACTGACACTATAAAACAACCATGTGGCAAAATGAGAATCAGATATTACATACCTGCAAATCTTCTCGGCAACATCAGCATTTGAGAAAGTAACGAAGCCGAATCCACGGAAAGGCTTTGGAATGAAAACATCAATGACTTTAGCTTTATCGCTAATTTTTTGAGCCTCAGCTTCAAAAAAATCTCTTAAGGTGCTATCAGTAATTTTACTGATAAGACGTCCAATGAAGATTTTATTCACAGGGAACCTTCCTGGTCTTCCAGCAGGAGTTCCGGGATAATCAATCTGAATAAAGATATCAGTTTTTGGATGAGAATGGCAAACTAACTCTTGTTTCAGGGATTTTTACTTCACAGCGTCTACCATCAAGCATATGGTTGCTTTGATTCAAAACCTGTAACTAGTTGTTATATCATGCAAAAAAAGAACGATTACCTTCTCTTGATCCTCAAGAGATCCCATTTGAACAAAACCAAAACCTTTGGAATTGCCATCAGAAGTACGTTTAATCTGAACACATTTTCTTATGACCGAAAACGATATCAAGACAAACACATTCACAAGGACTCAACATAAACATCTCGGACATAAAACAATGGAAAAAAGTCGCTTTCTTGCTTCAACATACCTCGGCAAAGACAACATTTCCGAACTGCTCAAAATAGGTTTTGAACGTTTCGTCAGTTGTCTTGAAATTGACACCCAATACAATTAGGTCGACTGGTCTTCTTTCTCCCAATGAAGAACTAGGTCCACTCTCCAGAAGCCTCTTTCTCCCATGTCGTCCCTCACCATCGGAGTCTTCCTCACCGTCACTGTCGCCCATCTTCCGTCTCTTCACACTCACTTCCGAACCTGTCCACAAACCACACTCACGACTCATTAATTAAATTTAATTTTCAAACAACATGTCTTTGCTTTTCAGCTGTTCAGAACAACATACAAAAACAAAAAACAAAGTTTTCTTGTAAAATTTTAGAATTGTAAAAGACGTACCTCTTGATGGTACAGCCAAGATCACTCTAAACACTTTCTCTTCCCAGCCATCAGCAGGTGCGAGGAACTTCGTTCCAGTAGGATCAACACTAAACACAAAATGAATTAGAATTTTATTTTTGTTAACTTACGCGACCGCACGACTGGCTCCCGTTTTGGGATTCTTGTATTTCAGCCCTGTGGCTTCAGCAGTAAGACTACTTTGCAAAGTTGACAAATACAAGGTATTGTCAGGGTTGAGGGGCAACTCCATTACTTCTCCTTTACAAAAAAATTATAATTAAATTAGCTATTTTTTTGCTCACCAGTAGGGTCCACAACCGCTACATACTCCGACCGATTAACGACTTGTTCATCTTCAAATGCCTCAGGCTTCTCATCAATGATTTCTTCATTGATAGCGTCTTCGTTTTCAGTTGACATCTGACAGAAGTAAAGATTAAAAAAAAATAAATTTAATATAACAGAAAAGCACATATATCTCAAATTAGAACGCCGAAAATGTATCATTGCGTGTGCAGGACGCGGAAATCAATATTGGTCACCGTTACGGCTTGCACTGCGTTTACTGCCGTCAAATGGAGCTATCGTGGGAAACTTTGACCATTAATAGAGCAGAGTTGCCCATTAGATAATTATAAATGAAGTTAGACTGTAAAACACTAAATTAAAAAAAAAAAACTAGTTCGAGATTAGTTTTAAATTAGCTGATTATTTTTATGTTATTAAGTACAACCGCTTCCATCGTTTACAAATGAGTAAATGAAGACTTTATCACGATAACGAACAGAGGACACTAGTATCGACATTATTTGAAATCGAAGTTCAGCTTGAGGAATGATCAGAAAGGTTTTCTTATGTAACATGTATGAACGAGAATTGGAAAAGATTTTCCATTACTAGAAATGAGGTCGGAGTTTAGAGATAGGTGGCCCATTTCATTAATGCATGGAAGCAGGAGGCTAATCTTTAATATCTGTCCATTTTGGCTTTCATTCGGTTCAATGCATATTCAAACACCGTCAACAGAGGATGATGCGCTGTTTTGGAAGAATGTTATCATCTACAGTTATTCATTAAGTTTAACATCTATCATAATTTTTCTTCTGATCGCTCCTCCTTTGTTCTTTCATTTCATTCATATTCAATCTGTTATGATCTCGTCTGCCTTAGACTGCACTACCGAAATAGATGACTTGATTTTAAGACAAACTCAGGTTGACATCTGTCACTTTTGGAATCTTTGAAAACTCTTACTTGCAGATAGCACACCATCTGAAACTGTTGCGTCAGAAAAGAGGATTTCTTCAATATTACTTCGAACGAAACCCATACTTCAAAGGAAGAAAAGATAGACAAGTATCTTCATCGGTTCATTTCAGTTTAACTATCTTTTTTTCAATGTAGACAAAGCATATAGATTCATATGTTCAACCTTCCCGTTGCAAAGTCGGCTCCCCAGGAAATTCAGGAAGTCCTGGAAGACCTGGAAAAAACGGAATAAACGGTAACCCTGGAAAAAATGGTATAAATGGTCAGGACGGTGATTCATATGAGCCTCAGTTTTGCTACGAGTGTCCAATGGGGATCATAGGCGATCCTGGTCCTCCAGGTCCAAAAGGACCTACGGGGCCTCCTGGAATCCCTGGTATTCAAGGAAGATCAGGAGTTTCAATAAAAGGAGAAAGTTTCTCTTTTTAAAATGATAATAATAACAATGTTTTTTTGAAGAAGGAGGGCCCGGCACACCCGGTAAGCCTGGTAATCGAGGTAGAGTTGGTCCTCGTGGAACACCTGGAACCATCATGAATTCAGTAGGGCCATCTGTCCAAACAGGAAAGCCAGGATTGCCCGGAAAACCAGGAACGGATGGCCAACCTGGCTTACCGGGAAAAAAAAGAAATGGACGAAAAGGGGCACCGGGGAACCCAGGAGCATCTGGCCCCCGTGGAAAACAGGGATCAGCCGGAGCAGTAGGAATAGCCGGAGAACCAGGCAAGCCAGGAGGCTGCACCGAATGCCCACCAGCCCGCACTCCTCCAGGATATTGATGTATTGTTTGGTTCTTAACTATTCTTTATTTATCAAACTTGTTTAATTCTACATTTGAATCGATACTCGGTTGTTAAAAGCATAAATATTTGGGATGTACGATGAGGTTATGTAAAACTTTCTTAATACCTTTTAAGAGCACCTAATGACCGGGAGTAATGGATGGAGAACCGGATAAAAAATCGACGAAACGAATGATAATCACCGACAAACAGTTATAAGGTAAAACAGAAAGGCTTTGTCTCATATGAATAGAAGCTAGATATATATACTTTCTCTGAAAATAGAGAAACAAAACATTCGTTTAAAAAAGTTTGAAATAATTTTCAACATCAACTGCATCATTAATGAAAATTATAGATGAAAGGAAAGAAAACTATTATGTCAGAAGCTCTTATAGAGAAGAAAAGAGAGTGACCAATCGAACATTGGATTTTGAAGGAATGAAGCTTTTTGTCGTTTTTACTTCGATTGCTTCTCAGTCTTGCTGAGGTACGCTAGTGAAGGCTCCACGGTTTGGATGGTGATCATCTTCTATAGATAAAGTTGTACAATTGAGAGATTTTTTTTCTGTACCTGGGCTATGTACTTTCTGGAGCAACATATCATGTTCTTTCAAATCTGCTTTAACATAATGATCAACGATACCAGCACCGAAAGCATCACCGAGAACATTGATGGAAGTACGGATTCGATCCCTTAAATGTTTCACATTTCTCAAAAAAACTGTTGCATAAACGTACAAAAGCCAGTCAACTGCGACAATTAGAGATACATCTTTTACTGGCAAACCAACAGCTGTCAATACCAGGAGCATTGTTACCAGACCAGCGGAAGGTACGGAAGCCGCTCCAATAGAAGCAAGTGTAGCAGTCAAACTATATAGTCATAACTCAAGAAAATCCATCTGCGGCTTACCTGACGGTGATAACCTGGCCGAATGAGAGTTCAATCCCGTTCATTTGGGCAATGAAGATGGCGGCGACAGCTTCATACAGAGCAGTTCCGTCCATATTAATTGTAGCTCCAACAGGGAGAACAAATCGAGTTACTCTTCTATCAACTCCTAAGTTCTCTTCTAAGCAGCTATAGGTCATTGGCAAAGTGGCAGAGCTGAATGTGAGAACGATGAACTATTTTCATTTTGCTCGGGAAATACCTAGAAGCAGTTCCCAAGGCAGTTATCCAAGCTTGTAAAAGTCCTCGCATGAAAGTGTAAGGGTTCTTCTTTGTAGACACGAAGAAGATGAGAGGAAGAGAGACAAGAGAATGAAGAACTAATCCAGAGATAACCTGTTTTGAGTTTTGCAAGATTGAATATTATTGAAAACTTACAGTGACCATATACATCGCTAACATGCGAGCTGTGTCAGCTAAATCATGAATCTCAAGAATTTTACCCATGATCAAGCACATGATACCCAGAGGTGAGTACCTTGAAAGCCTTTTTGAGCAAAACATCGAAATAATCTTACTTACCACATAACTGTCATCACTAATCTCATAATCACTTTATCCATGATAACAAAGAATTGGATCATTACATGACCTTCATTACCCAATTGCGAGAGTGAGATTCCAACAGCAATGCAGAAAACGATTATTCCTGGAGATGGCATTTTTGACATGTTTCCTTCTTATACTTTCTTACCAAGAACGTTCATTCCATCGGTGTATACAACGGAAACTTTCTTATAGTCTAAACTTCCGTTGTTCAGCATTTCCAACATTACTGCGCTGTCATTTTTGAGAATCTTCGGACGGACGTTTACGTATTTGGTGGCAACTTGTTGGAAGGTTGCTTGAACAATGTTTTCCGGGAACATATTTCTGAAATATAGTGCATAATGCAGACGAGCCTCATAACGTTTTATCGTTGTTACCTAACTAAATCCAAAAGAGTATCAACGGTGCTTACATTACGTCCTTCAGTTCCTTCACCCAAATCAGATTTGATGTTTGGGTTACCGGGATGAATGGTGAGAACGAGAATGATACCCGTCTTGAATATTAATTTAGAAGTATAACAGCACTTCAAAGGAAACCACTTACAATTACTGCAATGCCAGTAGTGAAAACATAATATGTGATGGCCAGAGATCCCATTTTACCAGATTGCTTGGCATCCAGCTGTGATAAACCTAAAATACAATCTTAACGATTGATTTTTTTAGATTGAATGTTGCCTGAGATCAGAGAAGAAACGATTAAAGGAAGAATCATCATTTTAAGCATGTGCATCAGCAACTCTCCAGGAAATGCTACAAGCATAACAGACTGAAAAAGAAACTTTTTTCTACTTTTTACTTCTTCGAAATTGCCTGAGGAGAAAGTTGCAATGGACGAATGACAAATCCTAGAATTGCTCCCAGAACAACTGACCCTACAGTCATTACCAGGAGTAAATTCTTCTTCAGCCACGTCATCTGAACATACAAAAATAGCTTCTGTTAGAATTTTTAAAAAATAGAAAACGACGAAAAAAAAGTTTTCGATACGTCTAAAAACTGAAAGAAACAAAAATAAAAAATTAACACAACGTTAAGACATGCATGACGTACAGGCATTCACACGCACACTAAGAATCATTTGAACTCACCCAGTCTATTTTGTTTTCAGTTAACATCCTAATACAATTAATTAATATTGTTTATATTATGAAATGAATATGTTATATGTAAGAAAATAAAGGGAAAGTTTGAATAGTCTTTCAAGTACTGTCGGCTGAGACCGTTTTCAATCAAAACTGATTCAAACGTAGAGAGCACAATCTACTTTTTTCATGCAATTATCTAGAGATTGTTCATTGAAACTTGAAAAGTTGGAATGATCCGATATGATAGATGTCACTTTCTGGTAATTTTCCATAAGTTGACGAGAAAACGAGGATGGACAACGATTATCGTTTAAAAAAAGATGAAGAGAGAATGAGAGAGAAATGAAAGAAAAAAAGAAGAAAATAACGAGAATTGTCTAAAAATGGAGACGAATAATTAAAAGAAGAGAAGGTGAAGAATATAGATGGTTCTATGAAGGAGAGAGAAAGTGAAATGAAGAGAAAAGGATGAAAAAATACAGAGAAATAGAGGAAGAGGGGCGGAGGGAACAACCGTTCAACTACTTTCCAAAAAATGAAATGACGCGTGCGTGAGATGAGAGATTTCAATTCCAAGAAATCCAATTGAGAATTTGGTACTTAAAAATGAAAAAATGAGAAATTTGTGTGTATCGTTAAAATTTTTATTGTAACAAATCGTAACAGAAAGATCCAACTGGTATGAGAGACAGAAGAGAAGAGAACAATGTGTGTTGTGATTTTTTGACATCTTTTGAACGTTAAAGTTTTGAGTTTTCTTTTTCTTCTTTTTTTCTTCTTTTCCTTCATGTCTTTGTCTGTTTGAGAGTTTCAACTAATCTTTTTACTTTTTTAAAATAATTTTGAACTATGGCGACAGCTGTGTTAAGACAGTGGTCGTTTGAGTGGATGTTTGAGCCAATGAAATGAAGGTGTTAGAGACCTCATAGAGAAGAGATGAAAATTAGCTGAAGAAGCTTATTATATGATGAAAAATGTAAAAATATCTTTTTTCTCAGCCGTTTTAGAAGATGAAAGGAAGGCTATTGGAGAAGAAGAAAGCGATTAGCTTCACTAATTGGATGATAAGGAGAGAAAATGAGTGAAAGATGTCAAGAATGAGAGGGATGCAAGAGAAAGAAAGATCTTCCACTACATCTCATTAAAATCGTTTTTTAATCCAATGATTACATTAAAGATAATATTGTTTGTTTAACTAATGTTATTGATATATAAATAGAGAAAGATAATAGCAAGTATAGAGAGAGACAGGGGAACAGTGAGAGGTGGGTGATGGGTGAAAAGAAGAAAAAAAAATTTTCTCGGGGTGGTCTGCGCCAAAAGATTTCAACTGGAAATTGTGTGATTCTGTCAAAACATATTTCATCAAAAAGCCTCAATAACATTGACACATACGGCCTTTGGTATTCGAAAAAGTTTTTGAAATAATTTTTATTATAAAATTGATGTTGAAAAGACAATTAAAATCACTGAAATCTAAATGATGATGATGATAGCCGATGGCAAATATCCTAATGCTCACAGTGAAATTCAAATAGACTTGTTTCAAATCGAAATGAATTGAATTTGGACAAAAAAATTAATCAAATATGTGGGATGTATGTAATTGAATTTATGGCTAAATTAAAAAGAAAAATTATTCTGCTGACCTGAAATGAACTGACTCTATGAAGTTAAAAGAAATAGAAAGGGCTAATAGATGAGAAGAATGAGGCAGAGGGCTTGGTAAATGAGGAAAGAAAGAGAACAAATGAAGTGGAGATGAACATATAAAGAGACAAAAAAATTCCTTTGGCGCTTTACATTCAAACGATTTCGGAAAAGTTGAAGTCGCGGAATGTTTCGACATGAATCATCTTCACTCTTAATAAAAATAAGAAAAAGAGAAGAACAGAAAATAAGAAAGAGGAGATACCGTTTACAATCATCGTCAGCTGTTTTGAAAACGCATGACGATGAAATTGCCAGAGCTTGACTTGCGATTTCAGAGTCTATACTACATACGTTTAAAGATGTATTTTTTTTGTTGTGTTTTTTCCATACAGGAAATAGAAAGAATTTCAAGGAATTTTGTGAGAGAAATCGGATGAGAATTCAATGGAATAATGGGTGTTAGATGTGGTTGAAGTATCACAAGCCCCCTTCATGAAAAGACAGATCATATGAGAGAAAAATCATACACTTCATTTTGAAAATGAGGAAGAAGGATTGAGATAGGGGGTGAGGGAGAAAGAGGGTAAGAGGTGGGGATTCCTAGAAGAGATAGCAAGAGTCTAACAGAGAAACAAAAAGAGAGAGAAGGATTGAGGAAAGGGATTGTCTGAAGGAGAGAGTATTGCAAATTCAAAAACCATAGATTAGCTAGTATATACATAGAGGAGCATATAGTTATAATGAAAAACGATGACTTTGTTAAATCCAAAAATAGAATTATAAAATCACAAAAGTTATGAAAGAAATGAAATTCTTACGTGAAAATTGTATTTGGCGATGAAGGAAGGAAGAAAGAGAAAGAGTAAAATGTAGAGACAGAGAATGGTTTTGGGAGGGGTGTGAGAAGATTGAGGTTTGGAGAAAACAGCAGTAAAGTTAAATTTAAACCAACTTAAAAAGGAAATAAGAGAAAGAAAAGTCTGAATAGATGTAGATATAATTGAAAAGTTAAAGATAAACAGATAAAGTCTGAAAAGAAAAATGTTTTTCTTGTAACAAGTTGATCTATGAAAATTGACAAAATCTTCGAATAACATCAATCTAAAATGACATGTTTGATTTAATTTAGATTTTCCGAAAAAAAACACGTTCGTACGTGAGTTTCTTTCAACTTTTTATAACCTGCTGTCGTTATTTGCTAGAAGTTTAGAAATTATGAACAATCTTTTCAGAAGAGCTTTGAGATGAGATATGGGGGGGGAGGGAGGGTGTAGGTGAAAATCGAACATCTCCTATCTTTTCGTTATTTATTCAAGTCCTGTTTTTGTTAATATATTGTCAACACAAATATGAGAAGGAAGCATTTTTATCAAATTTATCAAGTTTTATCATTTGCTCATCCAGAAATCACTCACTCATGAAGTTCGATGTACAAGCTAGCTGTCTGGTCATTAGCCCTTCTGTCTGTGTGAGACATATCTCAACGTCTCAACAATATCTGTCGGGAGTTGACTCTCAAAAACACCTATCCATTTCTTTTTCTTCTTTTCACTACATTTTATTCTCTCTTAGATGTCAGCTACTATCTTCAAAATCTAAATTATGTTTTTTCTCCACCACAATGACATCTACAAGTACAGTATGTACACAGAAAAAAGGGTTTTTGCGATAACAAACAATGCTCTTCTTCTGTTCAGCCTATCCTCCAGCACAATTTCAATTTTTGTAGATATTTCTCTTTAAAATCTTTTTAACGAAGAGAAAAGGAAGTGAGGGTTGAGTAGAATCTTACAAATAAAAGTACTCATGCTCAGCATGTAATGTGAGAAAGAAAAATATGGATGGCTGATAACAAAATATATTTTTGAAAACTTCTGTATGGCTTAACGAGCAGATCATGTGACGACGTTAACTGTTTGTTAAGGATTTCTCTTCTCCCATTTTGTCTCTCATCATGTTACATTCTCTCTGATAGATTCTCTCACAAACTATTAAAGAGAGTAAAAGATGAAAAGCACATTGAATAGTATGAAAGATTTTCATGAAATGTCCAATATTTCTAAAAAAAAAACAAATAAAAGTTTTATGTGAATTTCAAGCCTTATTCATATTGATTTAGATATATGTTAAACAAAGCCAATCTATATGTATATTATCAGAAAGACATAAAAAGTAAATAAAAATTTGAAGCTTTCAAAGCTTAATATGATAAGTAACTCTTTGTTCGAGCTTTAACCATTGTATAGACAAGAGGAACTGAAAATGGAATATAGTGAGAAAGTAAGAGAGAAAGATAGAGAGAAGAATGATTTTGCTGAAATTGAAAGAGCTGGGCAGACCGAAAATGGGTTCAGCAAAAGTCGGAAGAGTTAAGAGAACTTTCTAAAAATGAGAAAAAATGTTCATTAAATACTAAAAAGCGTGTTTGAAAGGTTTTTTTTGACATCAGCGCTCTCAATTAAGATAATACAGCTAATCTTAAACTAATTAATCAAAATATTACAATTAAACGTCGATGATTATAAGATTTATCATTGAATGTTTGAAGACAAAATGATGAATTCTCTTTCAAAATTCTCTCTAATTCATCAATTAAAAATGAAATATCGCGGACAACTTTCAAGAAAAAAAAGTTTTCAACTGAAGTCATTCGAACGAATGATAAACTCTTCTATTCACATCTTTCTCTCTCTCTCTCTCTCTCTCTCTCTCTCTCTCTCTCTCTCTCTCTCTCTCTCTCTTTCTTTTTGTCTCACTTTTCATTTTCCTTACAACAATTCATTCCTTTTTCCCCTATTTGTATCTTTCTGATCTTTTTTCCTGTACGGGGAGAAGTAATCTGTTCAGATTTCGATTAAATATTGAAGTTTTAGAATAAAACAAATTTTTCTGTTTAAAGAGTTGCTTGATCATGATGATGATGATGATAGATGAGGAAGGATCATGACAATATCCAGATAATCAGAAAGAGAGAAATGAAAAGATGAATGAACTGAAAGATCACTGTAAGTTCATGACAGTCGGATAATGTCTAGGCGTTTTTGTAAATTATAAACTTTTATAAACTTTGATGCTGAGCAAAGGGCAAAACGATGAACATAGTCCAAGCTTCATCACTAAGCTTAGCAGCATCATCTTGCTGTTTAAGATGGCACAGGCAATGAGAAGAAAAGGGAGGTAGAGAGGGTTAGAAAAATTGTTTTTTTTTGTTATAAACAACGAAAAAATGAATTTAGAATGTATTTAAATAAATAAACATATCTTTGAATAAGAATATGGTTAGGGCAGTGGAAAGCTTTCCGTCGTGTAAAAGGAGAGAAAAGCTATTTTTTGATGTAATTTAATGTTATTTTTCATGTTGCTGTTCATCAGAAAGT